TCCTGGAAAATTTAAGGAGTTATTATTATGTACGTTTAGGTAATACAACCGTTCGGATACTTATGTCCGCTACTGTATATGATTGAAGGCAGCTCCACACGGGGAAATTTTGGAACCCGCAACATTAGATCTTCATCATCCTCAAATCGTTTTCTCTTTCTTTCCTCTAAGATCTTTTTGCAAGTTGCGGGTCCGACATCCGGAATGTGCTGGATGTGGTGCAGAGGTGCAGAGTTGATGTACAACCGGGAAGATACTGCATAACAGAATTAGAGAAAAATGAGATCACAGAAGTTACAAAGATAGAATGGGTATTTGGCAACCTACCTGAAAATTGCGCACGACCCCCAAACGTATGCCCATAGTATTTCTTGAAATTGCCTCTGTGAATTAGGAAGGCATTAACGCGAGTCTTTCTTATTTCCTTTTTTTTTATCTTGAGCTTGATAACCTCGATCTCGTACTCGACCCCGTCGTAAAGTTCTAAATTTTCAGCTTTACGGCGATTGCTGAAGATGCCAAAGGCGCACTCTAAATCTTGACAGCGATCCTTTAGAGTATCATTCACTTTTCCGAATTTGCTGAGTTCCGCACCGACTTCAGTTTGGTTGAGAATTCTAAGCTTCTTCGAATCATATTCTTCTGCCATTTTCATTTGAAGGGATAAATTCAAAGACTTGGCAATTGCACTGCCTTGTGATATACGTAATTGCATAAAACCATCAATAGGGCCGGTCTTGGCATTAATAAATAGCTTGTGAAATTCTTGAAGAAGGTTTGCGCGCTCTGTGCCGGTCAAATCCGTTACAGTTTCATAATTCGGAAATTGATCTAGCAATTGGTGCACCGTAACCCGGCGATGGTCAGGAATTTCAACCTCGAAATCCGGAAAGTTGGGGCCGAATTCAGCGCCTGAAAAAAGTTCTTCCAAAGTTACAGTCTTTCTCTCGAGGATTGAGAAAAGGCATAAGCGTAGAGCCAAGAATTGCACGTTGAATCGCTCCCAGCCTCCCCAGGATATGTCTTGCGTCGGATTGATAAAATCTTTCAAGAACTTCCAAGGCGAGTGGCGTGACTTGACTGCACAAGCCTTGACTAGTAACATCAGCCACATAAACGGAACGCGGACGTAATATCTGTCAAATTGTCCAATCGGCTCTAAATTTATGATGCCAGTTGTCCTGAGGTCTTTGTAGGAGATAGCGGTTTCACCGACTTCGATATTTTCACGTATGTCAACTGGGATGTCTAGGATGGCCTTTGCCAGTACAGGCGTCGCCAAGTCAGCATAATCTGCAAAGGGATAAAGATTGTCCAAATGACTTGCCAAACGCTGCATTACAACTACGACATCAACGTTGCGCAGAGTTTCAGTTAGCGCTTTGTCCTCCTCAGGAATTTCATCAATTGTCCTCATCTGATTCATGAAGTAAGAGTAGAATCCCTCCACAGCTCTGGCCATCCCGCCGATATCGGAAATGCTGCGGCGGAACAAGATATCATCCTTTAGGTAGTCTTCAGTCAAACGTAGGACCTTGTTGCCCTCTGTAAAACGTAGCTTACTGCCAATGTTGATCACGTCACCGTCGGTAAGAAGAGGAAGAGGTGGGAGTAGGAGACGGTATGTTGATTCCGTGACCATGGCCTCGACAGGACCTTGAATTGTTCCAGCCATGATAGGTATGCAGAAAGGGTCCATAGCATGGCAGCTTATCCGTCCAACGACATGCACGACTTGGCGGAGAGTTTCTTTGTCGAGCTTGTGCAATATGCTCACTTCGTCAATGCCGAGGATCAGCACGGAGGGGCCAGTGGATATGCCACGACTGATGAAGTCGGATTTAATAACGTCTATAGCTGTCATCAACCTGAGGTCCGACACGCCTTGAATGTTTTGGATATCTTCGATCTTGGCCTTTGGCTTGATAGCGGGAATGTTTGTACTGATAAAGTACTCGTAGAGCAATCGAGTGGCAACTGATGCTTCACCGCCGATATCGACGTCAGTCTTAGCAGCAGGAGTGCCGTTGCCGTAAGTGATGTTGACCGCGAGCATGTTGGCAAAGCCATTTTTGACCTTCTCGTCGTTGCAGAATTTGGCCTTCTCAAGAAGCATTTTTCCAACCTCCTGGAGGAATCGGCTCTTTCCGGTACCTGGCCCGCAGGCTAAAAAGGGAATTGGATGTTGAGTCCGATCTGTCTGATGGTGCCGTTTGAATCGCTCAAAGACACCATTTCTATCAGGGGTTCCATTCCATAGCGTGTTGAGGGTATCCTCTCGGCGGAGTAAAGGGAAAATCGAGCCAAAGGAAGTAACAAGCTATAATAAGGAATAGTCAGTACTCAATCCATTGTCTATACGTAATTGTACAGTGTATAAATGAAATAGCATACTTGTGCTTGCTTAACGTCAACGGGCCGTTCGTATTGCTTTATCCATTTGAGGATACTCGTGGGGTCCTTCCAGTCGACAACACCTCGGATTAGATAGCGAACAGTTAATAGGAGAATGTAGTGACGAGACGAGCCACGTAGTCAAACGTAATGAAAACAACGCAATAAACAGGTATAACATGAAGCAAAATAGAAGCAACACGGAGGAAAGGGGAGTCGCGACAAGGGTGTGAACATGGTCCGGCATCGTGGATAAAAAATATCACTCACCAGTAATGGCAACTGGCGAAATGAGCAGATAAACACAACAAAAAGGGAATGTCAGTGAGCGGTGGAACGAAAGAGCATCGATGAGCAACGTAAAGCTCGATATAATAAAGCGGAATAACACTGAACCAGCATGCCGCGACGCAAACGACGCAAACGAAGAGACAACGCGTGATGAGAATGGCACAATTTTACTTACCATCCGGAGCATTTATGAAAAGCCTGATATTGTCGGCGAAGGATTGGTGCACTGAAGGAGTTTGTTCCACTCCAAGACGCTTTAGGATTGACTCAAGGCTGCTCTCAGCATCAAACTCAACGGCACTGCTAGCATCTTTGTTGTCGATCTTTGACGCTGCGAGAATGAGTCGGCTTGCGGAAAATGCGTCGAGAGCAGGAGACGCCTCCTTCTTGATCTGCTTTTTGAGGTCAGCCACATCCACGACATCGGCCAAAGGCACCTTGTCCCAGTCGCTTTGGGGCTTCACAAGCTTGTACCACGCCTTCGGTCCCATGTTCTGGTTGGAATGTGTGAAAAAGCGTTTCAAGATAAGTGAGGCGCTTCGAGCGGCGAAAATTCGTCCACGGTAGGAACGGCAGCCGAGCATGTGCAAGCATCGAATGCACGGCGATTGTTTACGAAAAAGTTTTATTTAGAGTATGAGTGACGTCACCGTTATCTTACCATGCGCGATCCTTCGAAGTTGGTACTCTTGTTCTGCGAGAGCATCCCACGGTTTTAGTTCTGGGCGTTTTGACCAGATAGATCTCGATTGTTGGGTAAGCCGCAAAAAAGCACGTCTGAACATGTGGAATGGGTTGGTCGCGTTGTGTGAAGACAAAATGGTGGGGTTTTATTAGATGTGGGCGAGAGAGAGAGAGAGAGAAAATGATGGTACTGCAATTTATTTTTTTTTTTTTTGCATATGGCGCCATTACCTTTACTAAGACAAGCGGCCTTCGATTGATCGTTTGAAAAGTCTTAACAAGGTCGTGAGTCTATCATTTGTCTCGCTTTGTTCGTCATGCCGCGCGCCTATTTCTATGCCTTTTCATGCACGTCAGTTACACATTGCGCCTGGAACAGACGACAGCAGTGATCGAAAAGTGAGAAAATTCTATGTTGGAGTAGCATCAGGGAAAAATTATTTCTATTTATAATTACGCAATAAACGATTTTAACCAAGGATGGAGTTGACGATTACAAAGAATATTTTTATCTTGCCTTCATCACTACATAATCAGGACAGTGATCAAGCACGTATAACCATAACTTGTGAATAGGAGTTGATGAATAGAAAATTACTTATTAAAAAGCGAGCCAGCCATAACCATCAATCTGTAAACAGCATCCTAAGAGCCAAACATTGTCTGATTGCCTCCGACACCTTCAAGCTGAGCAAACATTCGCTTCCTACAGCACTTACCCTTCTTCCAACATATCTCCTAAAAATGGGTCTACTATACTTCCACACCTTGCAACCATTTTGGTAACTGCTTGACTAAATTCTCTGACCGTTGCCAACACAATCAACCTTCGTTTTAAGTAACTGCACATTTGCGTGATTTTCTCTTCGTACGACTACCTGTTCGTCGTGTCTCAATAATTATGTACGTGGGCACGTTCCATCTCTTTTAATTATGGTTGAAACCTTGAATCGCTAAGCCACAAATGTTCACTTTGCCCCATATAAGAATGAATATTGCCTTGTCACACAACAGATCACAGGGTTTCAATAATGACATGAATATTTTCAGGGGTTCGTTGTGATTGTGTTTACAAAAGCGGAATGGTTAACAACTTAACTTTATTTTAAGGCGACTAATTAAGCAAAAGTCTTTCATCAACGTGCCCGAAAGAGTTACTGTATTAATGATCAACGGGCAATTAACTATTTAAAAATTATAAAAAGCAGATTGTTTACCCATACGCTCTGTCTAGTAAATCAATCGTGCTCATTTTAGTCTTTATAAAGCTGTCCAATTAAAAGTTAATATTTAAAATCAAGTGTAATTTTTTTATTTACCGATCACGCTTTAATTGAAACCTTATAAAACAGAATATCCTTTGATTGTTTCTTCAAAAGTTTATTTAGTCATTTAGTTCGTTTGTCTCAGATTCTCAGTTAATTGACCACTGTGGATAATCAAATTGTAAATATTGTACGTCGTTGTAATAAGCACATTGATTGTTATTCTTACCGAAGCATATGATATGGCGCAGATTAGGTCATTGTCGTTATCAATACGTCGATAATTCTGATCATATAGAACCATACTCGATGATACTGCATGTTTAATACAAGTCTGCATTCTACAAATAGTATATAGATCAATATCTTTTTTACATAAATTCCAACTCAATATCACACACTCTCACACGTCTTAATTATGAATATGTAAACGCTTAAGTTCCGCCTTGAATATTATTAAACAAATTCCTATGTGTTCACGTTTGTTACCAATCTATTAAAAAACCTGTCACAGTCTTGTAATGTTGTTCGGTTCAACATTTTAGACAATATCAGTAAACTTGCGAACAAATCTATCTCAGTGAAAACTCGTAAAGTCAAGTATTTTCTCCAACAAGTAAACATCTAGCAAATATTTCTGCAAACACCAGCCTATATTGGTATAGGATAATTTAACTGTATTTAATCACCACTGTCTATTGCGTGCCGTTGCATGTGTGTTTGCATAATCTGCAGTTCCTTATTGAGCCTGTTAGCTACCCGCATAACGTAAACATCAAAAGTAGACTTAACTCTAACGGGCCCCATAAACGTACACTCCCTGAAAAAAGTGCCCGGGCAGAGTTTTCCTAACTCTATGCAAATTTCGATGTAACAATGGTAGAGAAATTTGTAGCTTTTTAAATCGGAAAAGAAGGCAATTGTAATTATCAATTTTTTTAAACTTTTATTCGGTATTGAGTGGCTGCCATTATTCGAGATACGTGCTTCAAGTAACATTTTCCAACTCAATTGATAACACTTTTTGTAATGCGCAGAAGCATTGTCATTTGAAAAGCGCAACCCTTTTATTGAAATAATGGCAAAGGGTTTTTATCTAATAATTGCTATAATAAAATAAATAATCTATTTATTCAATTCTATAAACCCAAGCTTGAGTTTATTTTTGAAAGTTAAAAAAATTGGAAATTTTTATTTTAATTGCAGTTGTCCTTTTTATAATTGCTTATTGCTAAATATTTCAAAATTTAGATTTTTGAAGACCTAAACTAAGCTACAAACTGATAAAATTTGTTACATCAAATTATGCATAAAGTTAAAAAAAAAAAACTCTGCCGAGCACCTTGACTTTTTTTTATGTTTGGTCTTGACTTCTCACGTACTCTATCCACAGTGGCACAACCAATATTCAGTTGTGCAGCAATTTTATGTGAAGAAAGTCCATTATCAAGTAGAGAAACAATTTTATTATGGGTTTCTTCAGAAATAGACTTCATAATGAGAATTAATTCAAAGAAGAGTGGAGAATATAAACAAGAGTTATATATATATACAAATAAGTGTAAACAACGCGTATTTGAGTAAACAAGTCGAGTTTTCGCGTCTGTGTTACATCATACAAAGTTGTAACAGTTAAAATGTTTACCGGTTACAAAACCGGCTCAATGCACTAATAAAATTTAAAAAATTATATCTCTTGAAGTACTGAGTCTTTTTAAATAAAACCAAAAGTGTATTGAAAGCCAGAAAGCGAGACTATATTCAGTTAAAATTTCATGTAAATTGGTTGGATATTTGTTGAGTTATAAACCTGTACATTCAATTCTTTCAAACATTGAGCCGGTTTTGTAAGTCACTGTATGTTAGAGTGCATGAGTTGAAGAACTCTGGAGGTGAATCTAAGACGGAACCATTGCCGCTGGTGGTGCTGGTGTTAGTTATTAGTAGGGACATTATATAATAATAATAATTGTCTTGTGGATCTATCTATTACTATGTGTATACCACTGCTTCCTAGCTGATAATGTAAATGATCCAGCCCTCAACTTTACTATGCTGATGATGTTGACTTTGACAGTTGGCATATGATAGTTATGGAGTATATTAATACTGAAGCCAAACTTCAAAAACTGCCTTTGGAAAAGAAGAAGCATGTCTACAATGAGGTAAAAAAAGCAATTGAGCTCCTACACAATAAGGATGTTGTCTTGGGGACCTGTGCATTTCTAATATTCTTGTTAGGAAAAAACAAATGGAAGAACAAGTGAAAACAGTATTTTTAGATTTTGATTGGTGTGGGATAATGGGAGAAGCAAGATATCCTTCAACATTAAATATGGAGATTTCATGGCCAGATGTGTTACGGTCGGGAATTAAATTGGGGTTTTGGGAGAGCGATTTATCTTTTCGTGTAGGTGTGTTCGCCGACCGGGG